CCCTTAAGGAGGCCTACAAGAAAATTCAAAAAAATGACCTAAATTTTAGGCGGCCATACTAATAAGGCCCCTTAAGTGGGCCCCGTATTCATTTTAATTCCGTCCCTCGTGAATCTTCAATCCACCCCTCAATTCATCAATTCAATTTCATTTTTTAATCAATATTCCGTACAGTTCACTTCAATTAATACTTCACAATTTATTTGATGAAACATCTGGAGAATGGTTACCCATTTAACTAGGAAAAAACCGAACACAGCAAATCCATCGAACGTTTGCTCTTCGAAAATAAATATTGGAAAACTCCTGTACCATTCTTCAATGCATACACGTTTTTCATTGGCACGTATGTATGCGTTTTATTCACAGATCAGCTTCGTGTTGTTCGTAAACATAGTGAGGGTGCTCTTGCTGAAGCTGAAGTCAACAGTTTCCGAGGAGACCCAGAGATACAAGTAAGTTTCCCCAGTGATCTCGCACAAAGGTCGCATGTAACTAAGACAGTTTATCCAGTCCAATTTCCTAAGACGGTTCTTAGAAACCGTAGTATTCAGGCGCGTTTCCAACTTTGAATCCCCTTTGATATGGAGTTGCTTTGTACGCGTCAAAAACTTGTGGTATCACTTTGTAGGAGGTGGGCGAAGAGCACTTTGGTCTTGGTTCCGCTGTTCGGGGTGCACTACGCTCTGCTCTTGAGCATCTCCTATAGTATTGGTATAAACGAGAACGTCGAAGTCGTCTGGCTCTTTGGCGATCAACTATTCGCTTCGTTTCAGGTACATCTACGATTGCATCTCTTCTATCGATTCTATCTTCTCACCTTTTGTCGATATTTCGATGTTTGTATTGTACCAGGGTTGTAGATAAGTGATTATGTGTTGAATTAAATTCAATATTGGATTCACGATCAATCTTTCACTCCATTATTTCTCATGTCTATCCAAATATTGAACTTAATTAAGATGTGGAATTTAATATATGATATAGTGATTCATAGAATACCTCAAACACTGCTTATTACAATATTTCATTTAATAATCGATATAATGTCTCATTCAACGACTGACATATTTAATAATAATTGTTGCAATATAATTAATGGATATGGGCGATGATTGGGAATCTCTTATCAGGGTTTCTTCGTGGCGGTATTGTACTGTTTCCTAAACGGAGAGGTCCGCTCGGAAGTGTCGAAGGTGATCAGGAGCCAGAAACTGCCACGGTTCCGCATCAGGTGGAACTCTAAACAGACGAACCTCAGTAGTACTTGCAGCTGCAACGCGGCGAAGCTCGACCGTCGGGACTCGAAGCGGCCAAGATGGTGGAAGAATCCCTGGCCACACTTCGTTCACGATAGGGCTGCTCGACGATCTACTCACTCGATGGCGAGTACACAAGGTGTCCTCTCTATCCTATCGAACAGTCCACCGCTCTCTTCATTTCACTTCATCCTCCGTCTCTGTCTTCATATATGTATGAACGTCGTCATAGNATACAAATGTAATCAATTTTCCTCTCGATCAATTCATTCTAAACTTCGGGACGGAGATGTTCGACCTCATCTCGGAAGTAGGAAAGAGTTCCTCCCTCTCATCCATTGGCTCTCATTCCTTGCATTTGTACTTGTCAGAATGGTAAATCACGGTCTCCCAGTTCCGGAACGGTTTTTAGTCACTGCCTTCGCAGCCAATCCGTGAGAGTGTAAATTGAAATCTGATTGAAAACGAATGATATATCCCCTTGCTGTATTCAACGTCGATCCACCGATGCTTTCGTTCTTTTACCTCCATTTTTCACCGCTTCTCTTCTTTTCGTTTTTCTTTTTTTTTTCGTAGCCGACGTTACACTTAACAGTGTTGTTTGTAGATATAGGTACGAGAGGAGGCAGTCTAGCGAGCAGCAAAGGCTATGTGGAAATTGCAGGGAACGTGCAGAGTGCACATCCGGGAAATCAAAGTCAACAGGCGAATCACACGTCACCCCTCTACAGCAAATATACGGATCAATCGCTACTTTCCTTCTGTTCGAACGTGAGTAACTCACTGGCTATGCCTTTTCAACTAACGCCCTCTCGTTCACGAGTCATCGCACAAAGCAATTTCGCAGGCACCTGTCGGGTACATTTTTATAGGACTTCGTAGTCAAACAACAATGGACTTTATATATAAAGAGTTTTATTCCACGTGAAATGTACGAGTTGACTTTTCACCTTATAGACTCTAGAAGTAGAGAGCTATTTCACCGCCATAGCTTTTCACCCTCACTCCTGACTCAGCTGTTTCTTCATTGATAAAGAGTTAGATACGTGACACACAGTATATCACTGAATTTTTGCACAATTTTTCATCGACTTCAAATTGGACAATCATAGTGTTAATTAAATTCAGTTGAGAATTGATAGTCATTATTTATGAATTTTTTCCTACTTCAATTTGCAATATAAAAATTTGAAAAAAATCTCATGTGTACTACTCGTACAGGAGTACATTCCTGAATTTTTCTAGAATTTTTCATCAACTGCAACGTGCGAAATAAAATTGTTAATTAAATATACTTGAGAGTCAGGGTGGAAATTGATTTTCATTATTTACGAATTTTTTCCTACTTCAATTTGCAATATAAAAATTTGAAAAAAATCTCATGTGTACTACTCGTACAGGAGTACATNTAAATATTGTAATAAGTCATCTTTTAATATTCTATATATTTATTAACATTCTTTACAATCACTGTCGATACAATTTTTCTATAAGCCCATCAAATCCGTTGTCTAATTATAATACATTGTTACGAGTAGCTATGAAAAAACTGCTCGATTAACAAATCTATTTATTCTCATTCATATCGGACAGATTGATCACCTAATAAAAACCTTGAAACATCATTTTAGATCAGGATTATAGTAAAGTATTATTAAAGCTTGATTTTTGAAAATTAGATAAACATCTGTAATAAATTAATTTTATTTATTATGACAATATAAAGAAATTTTTGTACTTACCAAAAATTGAACAACTGATTTTGTTTACAATTTCGTAAAATTAAAACGTAACACTTACAGCCATATTCAATCGTTTTTCATAAAAGACGAGAATGTGGCTATGAACGTTTCATGTATGAAAGAGAGTTAGGATAGCCAATTGTGTTATGTCATGAAAGAGAGTCAAGATAGCCAACGCGATACGGCCCTGAGCAGGAGAATAGGTAGGGATGCGTTAAGTAGTATAAGCGTATTATAGTCCGCCGAGTAACAGTGACTACTGCGCGAGGTGGTGAGAGCCTATTAGAATAGGGGGAAATGAATTGGTCATGCGTGAAGTGTACGAAATGACTTGCCTGGTTCATCTCTCTCAGAACAACCCTGTATTCCTCAAATACAATGCAAAATTCATTTTCGTTAAAGAATTTAAATACATATGTAAGAATAGTCACTTCCATTAATAGTCGAATATATTTTCAAACGAAATAATTTTTTATAAACTGAAACAACAAAAAATTGCAGGAACTTTTGGTTGATTCTGATACAAATAGAAGTCTCTACACACAGATAAACCGCAGAAATTTATCTGACTGGATTTTAGCTATTCATACATTCAAAAACCATTTAGTTCTGGATTTAATTAATCTTTAATAGATAACAGTATACGATAGGATCGATCAACGTTGCGTTTTCCATTAATCATTACCTTCTGGCCTCGTGTATTAGACTCAAACCACATTAGATACACATTCACAGTTTACTCAATTTAGTCTAGCGTACATCACACACACAAATGCGATTCTATATATCTAACGATTAGTGTGTTTCGAGTCTAATCCACGGGCTTCCGTACGTGAGATCGATTGACAGAAATTCCAATGGATTCGTAATTAATCTGGATCATCGACGTAACGCATTGCGTTCGAATTACTCCTCGCTTGCCGTAATTAGATGTTAAGGTATTTATTACTGTAAAAGAGAAATGTTATTTTGTATTCACGCGTGACTGCGAGCGAATGATTTCCAGGGGCGGATTAAAGTGGGGCTACAGTCCCAGGCCCCAACATCCAAGAAGCTCCGCGAGCTCGAATAAAAAAATATTTACACAGATTATATCTACGATAATAAATTGAAAAAGNAGGAATTTTGAATTTTCTAAACTCTCTACAATTTCTCTACAAATACATAAAATCAATGTGTCTAACTAATTATTGATTTAATTTTAATAGAAAATCTGTTTACCATCCTATAACGTCCATACGGTTTTCGCAGCTCTGCGTGAGCTCGTCGAACGCCTCGCCTTTGGGGCATTTCTGCAATCGCGGCTGCCCGTTGAAACAAACGAAGTAGTTCTGGCAGTTGTTTTTGTCACGGTGAATCCGAATCTCGCCCTTCCTTCCGGTTGGGTCTTCTGGACAATGAAACCCCAAAAAAACTAGAACAGAATAAGCGACAGAGTCAATTTCACAATTTCTACCTATTACCTGTTTCCTCTTTCGTTTAATACATAATACGTAGTGAATAGAGATACTGATGTGCGCAGAAATAAGAACTTTTACTATGTAATAATTAAACGCGGCTTTGCGGATGGCGGACGTAGCTGTCTTACTCTCGGGGTTGCAGTCAGGAACTTGGTCCGGCCAGTCGCATCGGTAAGTCTGGTTGTTGAAGGCCAATCCTTCTGGACAGTGGAAGATGTGAGCGTATCCTGCGACGCAGTTCACGAACGTGCCACAGTTCTTCCCTTCC